TTCTAAACCCATCCCCCCCCCCCTCCACCCTCCTCACGTTACCTCCCAGCCCCCCCCCTCCCACCTCCCTCCTCACGTTACCTCCAAGCCACGCCCCCTTCTAACCCCATCCCCCCTCCCCTCCTCCCTCCTCACCTTACCTCCAAGCCACGCCCCCTTCTAAACCCATCCCCCCTCCCTCCTCCCTCCTCACCTTACCTCCAAGCCACGCCCCCTTCTAAACCCATCCCCCCTCCCCTCCTCCCTCCTCACCTTACCTCCAAGCCACGCCCCCTTCTCCAACCCCCCCCCCCCTCCCCTCCTCCCTCCTCACGTTACCCCCAAGCCACGCCCCCTTCTAAACCCATCCCCCCTCCCCTCCCCTCCTCACCTTACCCCCAAGCCACGCCCCTTCTAAACCCATCCCCCCTCCCCTCCTCCCTCCTCACGTTACCTCCAAGCCACGCCCCCTTCTAAACCCATCCCCCCTCCCCCTCTACCCTCCTCACGTTACCTCCAAGCCACGCCCCCTTCTAATCTGTCAAGGAAGAATCATAGAATCATAGAATCAAAGAGTTGGAAGAGACCTCCTGGGCCATCCAGTCCAACCCCATTCTGCCAAGAAGCAGGAATATTGCATTCAAAGCACCCCTGACAGGAGAGAAAGAGGGAGGGAAAGAGAAGGAAGGAAGGAATGAGGTAGAAAAGGAAGAAAGGAGAGAAAGAGGGAGGGAAAGAAAGAAGGAAGGAATGAGGAAGAAAAGGAAGAAAGGAGAGAAAGAGGGAGGGAAAGAAAAAGGGGGAGGAAGGAAAGTTAGAGAAAGAAGGAAGGAGAGAAGGAAAGAAAAAAGGGAAGAAGGAAGGAAAGAGGAGTGAAGGGAAGGGGGGAAGATGTAGAGAAAGAGGGAGGAAGGAAAGAAGGAAAGAGAGAAGGAAGAAAATAGAGAATGAAAGAAAAAAGGGAAGGAAGGAAAGAGGGATCGAAGGAAGATTGAAAAGAGAGAAAGAGGGAGGGAAGGAAAGAGAGAAGGAAGGATGGAAGCAAAAAAGCGAAGGAAGAAAGGAAAGAGGTAGAGAAGGAAGGAAGGAGAGAATGAAAGAAAAAGGGAAGGAAAGAGGGATTGAAGGAGGAGGGAAAGGAGGGGGAGATAGGGGGAAGGTTGGCCACAGCAACGCGTGGCGGGTACAGCTAGTAATAATAATAATAATAAGGCGACAGAAGGATTGAAGAGAAACAACTGGAAAAGCTGATACGATATGAGGATTTAAAGATCGAACTGCAAAGGTTCTGACACAAGCCAGTCAAGGGGCCCCCAGTGGTGATCGGCACATTGGGTGCAGTGCCTAAAGACCTTGGCCTGCACTTAAACACAATCAGCGCTGACAAAATCACAATCTCTCAGCTGCAAAAGGCTACCTTACTCCAAAAGGCATTATTCGCCGATACACCACACAGTCATATACACTTGGGAAGTGTCCGATGTGTGATCCAGTACAACAGCCAGCAGAATAATCTTGTTTGCTGTGGACTCATCTTGTTGTGTTTCAAATAATAATAATAATAATAATAATAATAATAAGGATGATGATGGTGATATTTATTTGTACCCCGCCACCATCTCCCCGGAGGGAACTGCAAAAGCTCTGGCACAAGCCAGTCAAGGGGGTCCCAGTGGTGATCAGCATATTGGGTGCAGTGCCTAAAGACCATGGCCTGCACTTAAACACAATCTGCGCTGAAAAAATTACCATCTGCCAGCTGCAAAAGGTTACTTCACAGTGTATCGGCAAATAATTTGAAGAAAACAGCAGTCTCCAACTTGGGAAGTGTCCGATGTGTGATCCAATACAACAGCCAGCAGAGTGATCTTGTTTGCTGTGGACTCATCTTGTTGTGTTTCAAATAATGATGATGATGATGATATTTATTTGTACTACTACCATCTCCCTGGAGGGACTCAGGGTGGCTTACAATGCCTTGGAGTCCAGTGGAGCCCCCTTCTTTGGAGGTTTTTAAACAGAGGCTAGATGGCTATCTGTCAGGAATGATTTGATTGTGTTTTACTTCATGGCAGGGGGCTGGACTGGATGGCCCTTGTGCTCTTCTACCAATGCTAGGATTCTATGAGTCTATGATAATATGAGAAAACTGTTCTCTTTGTGCCCAGGGCCAACAATGCCTCAACAAAGATAGCTATGAGTCAGTAATGATGGATGCTCCTGGCAAACTAATCAGGCCCCAGTTACAGCCCAAGGAGCAACCACAAACATCTAGTTCAAGCAACATGGTTTCTTGAAAAAGGCTGCTCAGTCCAGGCTCAACTCAGGAGGAAGAAAGACCTGTCTTTGTAAATAACTGTTCTCCCAACTGGATTTTCTCCCCTCTACTCGTTTCCAAGCAGAAAAGTAGGAAGCAGGGCTGGTAACGTCTAGTTTCAACTCCCCTCTATATAGTCACACATACACTATTACTACCCTATTAAATCCCAAAATGCCTCAGGAAGCCAAGAGCCAAGCAGTTTAGCAGTTGTATCAAATTTTAAGTTGATGGCTGCATATTTAAGTCTAATCAATAAGCCCTAAAAGAAACATGCTTTGCAACTGATGCCCAGGAAAGAAAAATCAATAGGTTTCCCAGGTATTACTTACCTTAACATGTACAGGACAATAATAATAAATACTATGACTAGCAAGGAAGACAAGGCCACCATAACAGCAATGATGGGTGTCTCATCTAGAAGGGAGAGAAGAAGAAAAAAGATGTTATAGGACGTATGTGACTTTCAAAACTGAGATCAAGTATTTCAAAGCATTCAGCGTGCTTGCTCCACCCATGTTCAACATCTACACAAATGACCAGCCACTGCCAGAAGGGACAGAGAGTTTCATCTATGCTGATGATCGTGCCATTACCGCTCAAGCAGGGAGCTTTGAGATGGTAGAACAGAAGCTCTCCGAAGCTCTAGGTGCTCTTACTGCCTATTACAGGGAAAACCAGCTGATCCCTAACCCATCTAAAACACAGACATGTGCCTTTCATCTCAAGAACAGACAAGCATCCCGAGCTCTGAGGATTACCTGGGAAGGAATCCCACTGGAGCACTGCAGCGCACCCAAATACCTGGGAGTCACTCTGGACCGTGCTCTGACCTACAAGAAGCACTGCCTGAACATCAAGCAAAAAGTGGGCACTAGAAACAATATCATACGAAAGCTGACTGGCACAACCTGGGGATCACAACCAGATACAATGAAGACATCTGCCCTTGCGCTGTGCTACTCTGCTGCTGAGTATGCATGCCCAGTGTGGAACACATCTCACCACTAAAACAGTGGATGTGGCTCTTAATGAGACATGCCGCATTATCACGGGGTGTCTGCGCCCTACACCACTGGAGAAATTACACTGCTTAGCCGGTATTGCACCACTGACATCCGCCGGGAAGTAGCAGCCAATAGTGAAAGGACCAAGGCAGAGACATCTCCAGCTCATCCCCTGTTTGGGTATCAGCCAGCACGTCAACGACTTAAATCTAGAAATAGTTTTCTAAGATCTACAGAAACACTCGCTGGAACACCTCAGCAAGCGAGAGTCCAAAAGTGGCAGGCTCAAACCGAGAACCTCAACCAATGGCTGATACCAAATGAGAGACTCCCCCCTGGGCACACAGAGGACTGGGCGACTTGGAAGGCGCTGAACAGACTGCTCTGGCACCACAAGATGCAGAGCCAACCTTCAGAAATGGGGCTACAAAGTGGAATCCACGACATGCGAGTGTGGAGAAGAGCAAACCACTGACCACCTGCTGCAATGCAACCTGAGCCCCGCCACATGCACAATGGAGGACCTCCTTGCAGCAACACCAGAAGCACTCCAAGTGGCCAGATACTGGTCAAAGGACATTTAACCAACTACCAAACTCACAAGTGCTGTATTTTATCTGTTTGTTTGCTTTGTTCTGTTAGAAATGTAATATAATTGACTGGTTGATCTGACACGAACCAAATTTCTGGTTTTCCGTATCAGTCCTGAATGAAATGCTTGCCCTTCAAGGTCAGACCGATAGGAGTGTGCATTTCGCAACCATTGCACTCTAGTGCCCTTTGGTATCACAAACATTTGAGGAAGTGCTAGTTGTTTGGAGAGTGGCCATCCCTGACAAACTCTTAAGACCTCTTGTATTTCAATAGCTCAGCCATCACTCTGCACAACAAACACTCAGGTCTAGACTCTCGTAAACAAAGCTTCACCAGAGAACTTCAAAAGAAATGCTCCAACATTATTTGACCTATGACATCCAAGGGACCATTGGACAGGGATGAAACCATCATTTAGTTTCCTTCCAGCGTGACTGGGCCAGTGCCCCATTGCCTACAAACTCTATTTCTGAAATCTTAGGGATTATTTTTGCTATGGAAATTGTCAGCAGTCATACCAGTCAGATTCCCACCCCCTTCTATGCGAAACTCTTGCTGATTTCTTTCAGTCACAAGATTCTGTCCTTTCCCTGTCAATCCTTCCTTTTATAACAATAAAGCCTAATGCAGTTTCCTCTTTAGGTGAAATTTGGTCTCCTGAAAGATGTAAGTATGCCTGAATAGGAAAGTTAGTTGTAATGAAAATGAACACAATCTGGCTACCAGTATTAAAAAAATCATAACAGTAAATAAAGAACAACACTCAAAAACAGGGGAATTCCAGACAAAAGTGAGCTAATCCCCTCCCAACAAAAAATCCCTCCAGGCAGTAAGAAGCCAGACCTTGAAACTTCTAGGCCATTTGTTGCTAATCAAGGTGGCCAATTGAAACATTCACACCTACCTCAACCAGACTAGAGTTCTTTCTCCCACCCTGAACTTTCCAAAGACATATGAACCCAATTTTTCTAGTTTCCAACAGACCTCACAACCTCTGAGAATGCCTGCCATAGATGCAGGTAAAACGTCATCATCACAAGTATAGTTGGTGGGAACGAGAGACAGGGCCTTCTCAGTGGTGGCCCCTCGGCTATGGAACGCCCTTCCTAGGGAGATTAGATCGGCTTCCTCGCTCCTATCATTCCGAAAGAATCTTAAGACATGGCTATTTGAGCGGGCATTTGAAAATACGGAGCAACGGATATAAAAATGGAATAACTATATGGCGGAACTGGACATTGTTTTAATGATTATTGATTGAAGTATGTTTCATTATAATGTTTGATTTTATTGTTGCTGATGTTTTTTATATTGTATATTGTAATTGTGTCCTTGGTGGCATTGAATTCTTGCCTTGTAAACTGCCTCGAGTTGCCGGAAGACTGAGAAGGGCGATATAGAAATGTACTAAATTAAATTAAATTAATGTCAGGAGAGAATGCTTCTGGAACATGACAATACAGCCGGGAAAACTCACAACAACTTAGTTGTAGTTTGTCCTGCATTGCCATTCATGCAACTCTATGCGTGCAAGTTGACTCATTTATGTCGTGTTTCCTTTCATACAAACACTCTCTCGGATGCTTTCCTATCTCTTTGTGACTCAACAAAAAATAACTTCCTACCACGTCAAGTGGGCTCAGCTGGTATGAATGTCAAAGTCCCATAGCCCCAAAATGCCTAGCTGCTTTGTAATGTTAGGGATTTAAAGGATGGCTAGCTGAACAGACCCACAGTTAAAGAAAATTTATTTATTTATTTATTTATTTATTTCGGTTTCTTCTACCCTGCCCTTCTCACCCTGAAGGGGACTCAGGGCGGCTTACAAAGGCACAATTCGATGCCAGCATCACATAACGGTAGTAACACAAAATAACATCAATTAAACAGTTGAAACAGTTAAACAATTCCTGCATTACAGCCCTAAAACCAATAAAACCAATAGAAACGATACAAACCTAATTACTCCTCATAGACGGTCAGCGTTCGCTATTTCATAGTCCAAATTCCAATTCCACATTGTCAGTCCTGTCAGTCCTAGTCGTTTGATTGTCCTTATCTAGTTGTCAGATTGCCCGAAGGCCTGGTCCCACAACCACATCTTTACTTTCCTCCTGAAGGAGAGGAGGGATGTTGATGCCCTAATTTCTCCCGGGAGTGAGTTCCACATGTGAGGGGCCACCACCGAGAAGGCCCTGCTCCTCGTCCCCACCAACCTCACTTGTGATAGCAGTGGGGTCAAGAGCAGGGCCTCCCCAGATGATCTCAGACTCCGGGGTGGGACGTAGAGGGAGATATGTTCGGACAGATACACTGGACCGGAACCGTACAGGGTTTTGTAGGTCAAAACCAGCACCTTGAATTGTGCTCGGAACTGAACCGGCAACCAGTGGAGCTGACACAACAGGGGGGTGGTGTGCTCCATGGGGGGGGGGGTTTAAAGGTTGATTGTTGAAATACATTAAGGTAGTATGAGGATTTTCTTTGCACTTATAAGCGTTACTGGTATCTAAAACTATGAAAACAATCAAGAGGGTATATGCTAAGGGGGGCTGAATATTCATCTAAAACTATGGAGGAGGGAGGAGACAGCATCCTGAGCACTAGTCATGGGCCCAAAATTTGTCCCATTTGTTTGATTTGTGTTTCCGTTTCGTCTATTCGGAAAGCACGAAATGGAAAGGCCCATCCTGGAACGAAAATGCAATCAATATGAAAGGCAGGCGGGATCGGGTACCGGCTCTAAGCCTGCTTTTCAGATTGATTGTCTGGCACTTGACAGGGCCTGCAGCCGAGTGCTGAGTAAGGAGCGTTCCTTACTTGGCGCTCGGCTGCAAGCCCTGCAAGGCCCGGGGTCTTAGTCCCAAAGCCTGTACCCACAGACCTACAAGTACAGGTGTAGGATTTGGGCTTACGCATCTAAGCCTCGCAGAACTTGCAGCTTCGGCCCGGCACACTTTGGACCTACAGGTGTAGTCCCCCACCAATAATGGGCCGAAAGAAAAGGGATCTTTTGGCCCCGAAAACAAAAAAGCAAATAGCTGACCTCCCAATTTCAAGAGGCTCAGATGAAAACGGATCAGGGGGCCCACTGAAAGCCGGGAGATGAAGCGGATGAAGGTAAGTACCGAATGCACATGACTACTGAGCACTCACCTCGTCTCCAACACACACAGAGACATTCATAGCAGGAGTCATTTTAAATGGCAGTTGCCTCCTGCTAGAACGCAAAGCTCGCAGAATGAGGTTATAGAATGGACAGTACCATTCCAAGAAGCAAGTGGAGGGTCACATTTTTGAATGACTCTCTATATTTTTATAAACCTTCCCTGTTAGAAGCAAAATTATACAATAGGGAGAACAGTTCTAGCCAAGTCTGACACGCTAATTTTCTAGCACTAGCGCTCTAATGCTCAAAAAAGCGATGCCTCGCCTGTAGCCCATTGTGGTATCATCTATTTTATCTCCTTAGGAATTAATCACCTCATTCTGCTGCATGTGTTGTTGAAGCTTAAGCAGCAAGTACCCCACCAATTACTATGTACTGCCTTCAACTATCTCAATCCATGTTTATTCACAATATTTTTCTTTAAAGACAAAACTTCAAATACCAGCTGAGTCCCCAGTAATGCTTGGAACACCTTAGTACAGGTTGAGTATCCCTTGTCCAAAATGTTTTGGGCTAGAAGTGTCCAGGACTTCAGATTTTGGCACACCTGTATTTGAATATACATGGAGATGGGTAAAGGATTCCCCTGACATTAAGTCTACTTTTGTCCCACTCTGCTAGGTGGTGCTCATATCCATTTCTAAGCC